GCCTTTTATTATCTAAAAGTCTTATTCTGTCCTTCTCCAACCCACCATTCTAAGGATTGTCTGTCGCTTTTATCTTTCCTTATCTGCCATTCATCTCTGATTGCCCAGCACACTCTCTAGTGTACAATAGGCATTCAGTCCATGTTTAGGTGAACTCTCCCACCCACCTCTCACTTGTGAAACATCTGTTCATGACGGCCTCCTCTAAGACTTCCACCTCATTACATAGTAAACAAATTTACCTTAATTCTCAAGGCCTCCCCTATCTTGGCCCCTATTATGTCCTTCCTCTGTCCTTGACCATTTTATTTGGCTTTGCATTTATCTTAATTTTTTTCCCTTATCCTGAGGCCTCCTTCAACAGTATCACTCAAGATAGCATGTGACTTGGAGATAAGTGAGGTCATAAAATCCCTTTACTCCTCATTTCCATTCCACTAATAAAAGTGGGGAGGGGTTGATAGCTAAAGATAAAAACTAAGCCTGTCCAGGAACAATAATCTTTCTTTGGTCCACCATAGTCATGTTGTTAGACACCACAGGGGCAGAACTGATCCCAGGTGACAGCAAACTTCCAATGTATACTAGACAAAGTTACAAGTGAGGATTCAGCTACTTAGTAGGTGGAGGCAGAAAAGGGTTTAGTGTTTTAGATTTAGGCGTGATTTAATTAAAGATTAAACATTCCAGTTGTCATCTCCCACTGAAGGAGCATGACTGCCACTGGAGAGAACTAGACTGCAAAAATAGGGAACAAAGGAAGATAAACATTCCTGCAGTGAACCCCAAGTTTTAGCCAGAGAAAGTTCTCAAGCCTGGAAGAACCACTAAAAATTTTCAAGTGCTAAGATGTCCTATGTAGTAAACACATCTTCTTCTAGACTGTTCTTCTAGACCAAGGGTTGGCAAACTGCATTTCACAGGTCAAATCAGGTTCACCACCTGTTTTAGTATGTACCATGAGAAAAAATGATTTTTACATTTTTAAACAGTTAATCAAATGACTATTTCATGATGTGAAAATGATATGAAATTCAAATTTCAGTGTCTGTAAATAGTTTTATTGGCACTAGCCAAGCTCATTCATTTACATTATCATCTATAGATGCATTTTTACTACAACAGCAGAGTTGAACAGTTGAAACAAGGACTGACTGCATGGCCTGTGTAAAGCCTAAAATATTTGCTAACTGGCCCTTTACAGAAAAAGTTTGCCAACCCCTGCTCTAGACAAACGCTATCCAATATAACTTTTTGCAGCAACGGAATGTTCTATATCTGCGCTATCCAATGCAGAAGTTGCTAGCCACATGTAGCTATTTGAGCACTTGAAATATGGTCAACAATGATTGAATAACTGAATCCATAATTTCATTTAATTGAAATTTACATAACCACAAGTGGCTAGTGGCTACCATAACAGACAGTACAGCTCTAGACTCTTAAATCTGTACTGACATTTTCTTTTCTCCTTATGCCACGTTCTTACTCCCTACCTGTGTCATACCTCTATGGGTTCTCAGGAACTCCCTCCCACCCCCCTGCTCCACAGTCCCATTCACCATAAACACAACAATTTTTCTGACCTCAAGCTAGGGTATAGTTACTAGGTTGTCTCTCTGGACTCTCCATTGTCACAAATGAAGTCTGAAAATGGATCAGTTTATCAGCTGTCACCCTACGAATTAAGCCACATTATGTACATACACATAAATGGACATTTATACAAGTTTGTGTCAGAAGATGGCACTGAGGCTGTATTCTTTCCTCTCTGCATGAGAGAAGTGGAAAAGCCTTCCGCATGCTGGATCCCTTGTTGCTGCTGGAGCCTGTGGTGTGGATCACCTTCCTCTAAACACATTTACAGAAGCTCAGAGCAGCAGGTGTATACTTGCTATTTGAATCTCTAGGAAAAAAAATTCCTTCATCATTGGACTTTCTTTCCTTCCCCAGGCCTAACAAGCTGAAATTCACTGATTTCTTTAGTTTAACAGATGCTTGCTTTTTACTGGTCTTTTTTTTTTTTTTTTTTTTTTTTT